CCAGGCCTTACTTAGGACCTGGTTACCAGGGCTGACTGGGGGCTGACAATTATTGTTGGCCTCTGAGAGTGGAAGACTCTTACTTCTAATGGGGGCGGGTGTTGCAAAGCTCCCAGACAGGTCACTTTTTGTTGAGAAATATGGGCCTTACGATGGGACACCTAGTAATGTCTTTCTGCTAGAAAATTGAGAGTCTTAACAATATTTTCATCAGATAACTCCTACCTATGACGAGGTTCTATGTATGGTAATAGGCCTCCCTTTTAAAACTTTAAGTCTCTCAAGTCTTGAGCTAAGGCATGTGCAAACAAGTGGTATCTGCAAAACCCTGAGGCAAGACAGTCCAAGTACACTGTTGGCAAAGCCCCATTTGGGGATCTTCCCATTCAAAGTCAAACATGTACTGGGAGCTAGGATCACCAGGGATAAAAAAAGGCATCTTTGAGATCAAGGACAGAGAGCCATTCATTATCTTCTGGGATCCGTGATAAAAGGCATATAGGTCTGCTGCTAATGGGTGAGTAGGTCCCGTTGCCTCATGGATGGTTTGAAATCCTGCATGAGGTGATACTCCTCTGACAGTTGACCTCTGGTAAAATGGGTGTTGTGCATGGGGACTGGAATGGCACCAGCAACCCTGTCGCCAAAAACTTACCAATGACTGGGTTTAGCTCTTGCATAGCTTGTTTTATGGAAATCCTTTCTCCTTTGAGGATACACAGTAGAACCCTTTAGCTGAATAACTGCTGGAGCGCCCTTGACAGCCCTCCCTGGGGTGCCATCATACCATACTTTTGGAGCAACTCCCAGCAGAGACATTGGCCCCGTGGGATCAGGCTGGCTGGCTCCCTAGCGGCCAGGGCATGGGGTACCAGAGGTTTGAATCAGGAAGAGTATATCTCTTCACATTACTGTTACAGGGTACTCTGGTACCAGCATGAAGGTAGCTTGGAAAAGGCAATCTTCTAACTGGCTGTTCAGAGTGGGGATAAAGAAAGCTGGCCAATTAATTCCTTCAAGGCCCATAACTTTAGAATGGGATGAAAGCTTGCTACAATAAGAAATTAGGATTGAATAAGTCCCTCCAGTATCATAGAGAAATACATTTTTTTGCCTGCTACTTCTAGAGTCACCCAAGGCTCAGTAAGTCATGTGGAATACTCTTGCATGGGAGCTGCGTGTGCTGCCTTGGGCACCATCAGTCCCTGGCCTCCATGGAGGTGGACAACCTCATCTCTTTCTGGGAATGAGGGCAGCCTGGTGGATAGTCCTCCCTCCCCCAGTGCCAAGGGCATCTTCTGTGTCCTGACAGGCTCGACAAGGGTTTGAGGGCTTTAGTGGGCAAGTTTGCCCAGTGCCCCACTCGTGTGTACCTGAAGCACTCTGACTTGCTTCTGTCACTTTGGAGTATCTTGGTTTCCCTTAGTGCTGTGGGCTTTATCTATCCTGAGCCTTATCCATTAGCACAAGCATGGTTTAGCCTCTTTTCCTTATTCAGCTTGTTTGTCCCTACTTCATCTCTGAACTAGGCATGTCAGCCAAATGACTTACCCTGCTTGTGGGCCTGTTGTAGTTTCTGGAACTCTCTCCTAATATCTGGAGCTGACAGACGAGTAGAATACTGCCCTAGGATAATCTGACCTTCCCTGAACTCCACTGTAAATTAGTGTATTTACAGACTACCTCTTCAAGAGTTGAAAAGCAGCTAGATTTTCAGCAGAGCATTTACGGATAGACCTGAACTTATTGTAGTTCACAGGTTTGGCCATCCTTTGTTGCATGCTCAGTAAAATGGCCAAGATGGCTAAAAATATTCATTTGATTTCTCCATACCCTGTTATAGTCCCTCTTGGACCCCTGTTGGGGTCCAAATAATGCATCAATTGGCTGATTATTAGTGAGTGCAGTCATGAAGGCTTCATTAGCAGCTATTAAAATCCTTTTTTCTTTCTACTGCTGTTCATCTCCCAGGATGAACTGGACATCTCACAGGGTCAGATCAAAAGCCACTGATCAGGTATGGAAACTGTCAGCAAACTTTTCAAAATCACCAGAAAATCTACCCAGGTTTCCCTTGCATTATTGAATATCCACAACTCAAAAAAGGGGCTTGCACCTGGATCGCACCCTCAACTTCTGCTACTTCTTGAAGTGTCAGAACAGTGGCTGCTTAGATGCTGAGTTCCCAGACCTGTGGTCCTATTGTAGGCAGACCCAGACCTGGTATGGGGTGGGCTCAGGAGACGGCCTTGATCTCCTGAGGATACTGACTGAGCAGGCTGCTGAGGAGGAAGCCTGTGGAGAGGAGGAGCTGATGGAGAATTAGTTTTTCCACAAAGATCAGGCCTCTGGTAGAGGGCCATGAAGGCTTGAACATAAGGCACCTCTATTTTCTCCGTTTCTTACAATAAGACCCAATTGGAGTATGGCATTATATTAGGCTGCCAAAGGGTGGCAGACCTCTTTTCTCAGTGAGTGAGGAGGAATTGGAGTAGGGATTCGGAAGGAATAGATGAAGTGTTTCCCTCTGTCGGTATGTAGATAGGAGAAAAAAACAGTCATGCTATCCTAACAGGCCTATCCTTAGGACAGTCCCTGACCCATTAGCAGAAACATAGGGTATCTCGTGGTGGACAGTGAACCTCTCAGCTCTAGGCCATGACTTGACAGGGCCAAAGTCTTTGAGAGTTGGTCTTAGAAGCTGTATAGAACCTTTCCCTGCATCAGTTTCCATGTGGGACTCTTAGAGGTCATCCTCTAAGTCTACAATCTGTCCAGCTCTCACTTTGGGCACCCCCTCCTCATAGAGCTGGCTTCCTGAGGGCCAGACGTACCTGGCTTTGTGTGGGCACTGGCCCTTCCTTTTAAGCCTTTGGATCTCCCCCTATGACCACAACTCATCTTTTGAAGGAAGAGTCCAGAAATGGCTGCCTTACTGGCTGGACCCCTTCTTGCCAATCATAAAACCACCTGGCATCCTGTCTAGGGAGGAGCATCAAGTGTTTTACTCAATAAAACTTGGCATATGGAGACTTTGGTTGAGAAACAAGCACTTTAACAAATGATGTCCCACTATCTGCCAGTAAGTGGCAGTCTGAGAACAGGGAATACCCAAACATGGTTTAAACTACCACAGCCAGAGGTCCATGCAGGACTTGGGCTTAGAAGGTGAGTTGCCTTACTTTCTGGCTGTCTCCTGACCAGCTCACCAAATGATACCATGTGTTAGATCCAATAGGCAGATTCCAGTCTCTTGTGTAGAATGAGCTAAGAATTGCCAGCATCCATCCAATGGTGGAAGAAAAGCAGCTCTATCTAGTGGAGATCATAGGAAGATGTGCTCAGGACAGGTTTGTGCTGAGAAAAATGGTGCTGGAATGACAGAGAAGTAGAAACACACAGATAGAAATCAAGCTTTCAGAATTTTTTAGGAGGAACCCCAGCCCAGGTACCTCTCACTGGGTTTCTATGTAGGATCGGCAGGAATGACTAAGAGTGTGCTGAGTCATCCTGAGCCCGGACTTCCTACAAGTGTGCTTTCTGGAGCTCACCCTGCCAAGTGGCCTGGAACTAGGCAGGAGGATTGGTACTGGGTGTTGCCCAAACTCAATGGGGCAGAGGCAAGTGGTCTCTCAGCCCCTTGTACTCCCTGTTCTATATTCACCTCCAAATCCAATGACTCCAGAGCTGGGATTTAGCTCAGTGGCACCACACCAGCCTCACAAGCACAAGGTTCTGAGTTCAATCCTTGGTATTGAAGGAAACAAAAAAAAAAGGTCCAAATTCAATGACTCTGCCACTTGAAACAAAATATTTTATCACATTTTTGGCTAAACCGATAAACACAAGTTAAATGATTATTAATATTTTTATTTTTATGAGCAAATCTTCATAATGGAACAATAAGGCATTATTCCAAGGCCAGGTGAGCTTATATTAAGACTAAGGTTGTCTGTATAATATTTGTCATTAGCTATAAAAGGTTTCGTGTATATGCGCTATATCCTTGGTACCAAAGAAGAAGAAAAAAGGACTGTTGATGTTTTGGAGTTTAAACCAATTTCCCCTTGCCAGCCTCCTGCTTTGAATTATTTAACAAATTCGCCTTCAACAAATACTTGCATGGCTTTAACTATTTATTTTCAAGTGCAGTTGCACCTCATATAATGTCACTGCTATGCCAAATTTGACAATGGTTCTCCTCTCCCTCCATGGAAAAGTCAAAGTCCTTTCATCCCTAACCAAGCTTCTAATCTGCTTCTGACCTGCTGTTCTCTGACCTCAGCCTATTTCTCACTGTCCTCATTTCGGCCCAGACAGCTGGGCTTCTTTCTGTCCTTCAATCAGAGCCCTTTCCCAGAGCGCTGACAGCTTCCTTTCCTGGAAAGGGAATCCCATGATCTCCTCAGAGACAAACTCTTCTCTTTCTGAGTCTTTGCGTAGACGTTGTCTTTCCCACGAAGTCTCTCCTGAACAGCCCCTCTAACTGCCCTTTCCTCAACATCCTCCCACCCTGCACACCCCAATCCCTTATTTTTTTTCTCCATGGTGAGGGCTCTTTATTTACCAGTGAAGCCCCAAATTCTAGAAGTATGCTTGGAACATTACAGGTCCTACAGAAATATTTTTTGAAAAGTGAAAAAAAATTGAAAAAACAGATTTTCATATAAAATTTGATTAAGTTATGCCTAAAGAGTTGCCTAAAGGGCTTAGCAGGGCAAGCCTCACTAAAGGTGAAGGCAGCACAGAAAAGACTCCAGGGGTCAGGAAAGGCTGTGAGTTGATTCTTCAAAGTGTGGACCAGCGCTCTGGCAGGCTGAAACAGGAGGACTGCAAGGTGAAGCTCAGCTTGGGTGTAGTGGATTGACTAATGGTCAATTTGTAACACCCAGGTGAGCTGAATCGGCGTGGTCTGGGCAAGGAGGATCCACCTGAAGATTGTTACCAGTAGCCATAAAAAGAGACCTGGGGAGGAATAGCTGGACCTGTTTATTTTCTAGGAGAAGCTTGCTGTGGATTGTTTTCCTGATGTGAACTAGGTTGTTCTCCTCGGAGAAGGAGCTCAGAACCTGTGTCGCTGGGTATGGCTGCTGCTTTCATCAGGGGAGCTCTGATCTTCGCCGCATCACTTCCTGACTCCAATGTGGATCCCTCACCTTGGTGGCACAGATCCTTCATCTCACGAGCATAGATTTTCTGGCTTCCACCACTGGCCTTTGGGCCTTCCAGGTGCAGATCCTCAATACGGAAAAGTATGAGACATCGTTGTGGGCTCTAGGCCACTGGCTGGCCTCGAGGAGGACACTGCCTTGGACTCTAAGCCTTCAGCTGGACTTGTGTGGGACACTGCTGGGATCCAGGCCCTCAGATGAATGCTTTGGGCTTCTAGTGTGCGGTTCATCTCTTGCACTCCTTTGCATTCGACTCTTTGGATAACTGTCATAAAATAACCTTGTAAGTTATGTGTCCTGTATTTAATGTATTCCCTCACCCAATCCTGCTGACTACAACACAGAGCAACTATGATTTAGTGAGATCTTCTCTCAAAGTTTAAACAGTGTTGGGGTATAGGAGTAGGGACTAGGGTGCAGCTCTGTGCAAAGGCCTGGGTTCCATCCTAGTACTGAAAAAAAAATCACTCACTTTATTTTTCTCACAAATTTGGATCCCCTCAGTAATATACACTTGCCCACAATTTCCATAACTCTTTAAAAAGCATTTGTTTTACCTTGGACATTTTCAGTATTAATACATCTTGGGATTTTATACAAATCTGAAAAATTTTCATCTTTCAAATTGGTCAAATATTGAGAGCTCCTGTGAGATTCCCTAGGCTAACTTTGGAAACGCACACCTTTGTTTTCTGTTCCCTCTCTCTCTTCACTGTATAATGTACCTGCTTAGTATACAGTGAAAATTATTTCTCCAATTTATTCATATCAGTGAAGAATAAAAGCAGGACAAGTAGCTGTGAATTGAACCCTAGCTGTGTCATTATTTATAATGTGGACATCACTCACTTACAAAACCTTGTATAACCTTAATGAGTTTGTTGTAAACAAACATGTGAAATAAATGGTAGATAAAGACAAGTAGCTGAATTGAACCCTAGCTGTGTCATTATTTATAATGTGGACATCACTCACTTACAAAACCTTGTACAACCTTAATGAGTTTGTTGTAAACAAACATGTGAAATAAATGGTAGATAATAAATGATCCCTAATATTACTACTGAATAACCTTGAAACAGTAAACGTGTTTATTTAAGCAGTTTTTCCCAGCTACCTTCTGAGCCTATTTATCATTTTCACTTTCCATCAACTAATGTGCTTCTGAATGTTGTGCTGTCCACTTCCTCACCTGAAGACCAGAAGCTGCCGACCACTTCTGCTAGTGTTCTGCAGGGCCAGCTCCATGCCCTCAATCACGTGAGTGCCAGGGATGCAGTGAAAAGTGTAGCATTCCAGTGGCCTCTCCCAAGAAGGACTTACGACTGAAGGCAAAGCGGAAATGCAGACAGTGACTAAAGAGTAACTGAGTTTTACCCAGGTCACTCTGCGAGTGCAGTGATGTAAAGAAGCAGGGAGATGTGGACAGATTAGAAAGCTCTTTATAGAAAGAGCTTGAGCGTTTGAATTGGTTCCAAATGGCCTTTAGAGTAACAACAGCAGCAATAAGAAACACCTTCACAGAATATGCTCCAGGAAGACTAACTCTTTCGCATTTATTAACCTATTCAAGTCACAAATCCAATGAGTTGGGCCCTACTTTTATCTCCTTGTGCAAAGGAGTAAAGAAGCAGCAAAAAGGTGAAGATTGGTGACTGAATTTCATTCTTTCCTGTCGAGTCTAGAGCCAGGGGAAAGGGGTTTATGGAAAGGCATGGACTGCGTGGATGTTGCAGGAGAACCCTATTACGAGCTAAGCCGTGTAGAGGACGCCCAGCTCCCCCTCCACGTGCACCTCCACGAGCACCTCCTGCTTCAACGCAATTCTTCCTTTGTCTCTGGTGGCCTCTCGGGTCCACTTGCTGGTAACTCATTACCCTCTTGGGTCCCTGCTGGAGACGGCCTCCGTCCACACGGTTTTCATTTTTATGCCATAACCCAAGGAAAACACTGTGTTTTTCCTACAGAACTCACAGCACCTTTGTAATTATTTATGGTCACTTCCCATGAGCGGTCTTTCTCATTGTCATCTTCCCAGTTCATCTTTATTCCTATTCTTTATCTCCACATTTCAACCACAGTGCCTGGTCCATGCTTTACACACACAACGTAAGGAACACAGGCAGAGTTGTTCCTATTTCCAAAAAGGGAGAAAAGATAACTTTCTTAATAAAATTAAAAGGAAAAGGACATTTTTAAGTTGAAGGTTTACATCATAGAGGGGCAGAAATGTATGCAGGGAATAACAGAGATAAATGAGAAATAAAAGAATCATATCACAGAGATATATGTGCACCTATGTTTATAGCGGCACAGTTTGTAACAGCTAAAACTTGGAAACAGCCCATTTGCCCCTCAGTTGGAGACTGGATAAAGAAGATGAGGTTTTTCTACAAAATGGAATACTACTCAGCCATAAAGAATGAGAAATTAGATTCGTTCTAGGAAAATGGATACCTATTGAGGATATACTCCTAAGTGCAATAAATAAGACACACGTGTAAATACCAAATAGTTTCTCTGGTGTGAATAAACTATAATAGTACACAAGATCCTAGTGATATAATGGACAATGTGAAATAGGAAGAAAGGGGCTAAAGGTGTAGGGAAAGTGGGAAGGGTGGGGGAAAGCTAATAAAGAAAAAGAAAAAATTGAGAAAATGAAGAAATGGAAATAAAGTGTTTGTAAACGGGGAGGGGATGAGGGGGTGAAGGGAGGGCAGGGACAAGGGGTAAAAAATGAGAACCAAGACCTGTCATGTAAAGGTACAAGATCCCAATGATGAACGTAACTGTACTGTATACCTAAAATATACCAATAAACTCAATGAGGAAAAAAAAACCCAAAAAACCAAGGTTTGGAATATGAGTAGAACAAAGAATGAAGTAAAAATATGAAAAACAGGAAACTTTGGGAGAAAAATAGTTGTGGAAATGAAAGAAAAAGGACAAGCGCATGCAATACGAAAGAAAAAAGAAAGGGGACCCGAGGAGGCGCGCGACCCCAGGAGCTGCCTGGCCAGGGGTCGGTCCGCCACAGGGCCTCAGGGAGCCCTAGGAAGGGAAGGGCACAGGTCCTGGTTTGCTCCCCTTCCTTCTCTGCCCTGACTGCTGATTCCTAAAAGTAATCACCGATGCGCTGAAACAGTTAAATGTTTCCCAAATATTTTAATAATACATGGGCAAAAAGTACTTGTCCTAATCTTATTTTCTCTAATAACATTTGGCCCGAATGAGCGCCATCAGGCAGCTGGATGTTTTCTCACTAGTTTCGAGAGTAGGCATCCCGGTTAGGAACGTAGCGCGCTCTGCACACCCGCGCGGCCCGAGGGCTGTGCGCGCTCACGGACGCGGTAGGAGCCTTCCTTCCCACGCTCGCGCCGGCCGGCACCTCGCGCACCCTCTGCTGGTCGTGCTCGGTAAGTTCATGCCGCAAAAAGGCCACCGGAAGAGAAAGGTCTAAACCGAGTAAAGGAATCTCATTCACAGCTACTCGGATGGTGTCTTCCTTTCACTCTCCCGGATCTAGAATGTTCCATCCCAAGCCCAACTCGTAGGACGCCCTTCAGAGAGTTCTGTTTCCTAGGGTCAGATTTCCTCCGCCTCCTCCAGAGCGGTTTTCTTTTAATTAGCGGTGGACAGGGGCCCCCGGCTTCATGACAAGACCTGGGCGACCCCAACGGCACGTGGTTTCTCTTTATTTCCACGTTTCCGCGGGACAGTGGGATTCCGGCTATTCTTATGGCATGTCTCACATTTCTTTAAATACTTTAAGTTATTTTCTTGAATTTAAAAAGTGTAATCTATGACCTCTTAGGAAATAAGTCTGGCATAATATTAATAATGTTTAATAATTTGCTTTTACTTACAATAATACCTGTGTTGAAGACAGGAGCGGACCGATTTCTGAAAGTCGGCTTCCATGGTCCAGTGAGTGTTAAAATCCCCCACGAACAGTGTCAATCTGACCCCTGCTGTGCTGAATTAGGCTAAGGACAGGTACAGTAGGAGAGAAGACAGAAAGAGGAAAGAGGGCAGGAGCAGAGTGAGACGGGGTGACGCAGGGAGACAAAGGAGCAGAGCGGAGTAGAGGACTCAGCGCTTTGGCCCGGAAGACCCCGGCGGTATGATTTGTCAGGGCCACCGGGGATGCGGCCTTAACCACAGGGACTCTGACCCCATGTGACCCGACAGGGGAAGCACCCGCTGCTCATCTCGAAGCCCGGTCGAATCAAGAGAAACCCCCAGACAACGAATACACAACCGCCCTCCACGCCTCCCGAGGTCGTGGAAAACCAAGGAGAGACGAGAAACTGGCACCAGGCAGAGGACGCTGGAGAAACAGGATGACGAAGTGTACCGTGACATTCGGGTTTGGGTCTTAGACTTTCAAAACAGCGAAAGATACTGGAGCTAGAAAACATAAAATATAAACGAAGGTTGCAGTCTGTTTAACGGCAGCAGATAACCACTGGTCTTCGAGCATTGACAATGTGTCAGCCGTGTAGTAAGTAAACATCAGCGGAAACCGGGAATACATGGTGCACTCTGCAGATCTCTGCGACGTGTAAGCAAATCAAAATTTATTAAAAGTTGGCCCTGTCAGCTGAGTGTGGCTTACAAATTCCCTTTGTGGGGTGGGGCCGTGGCTTGGTGAAACCCTGCTCAGTGTGTGCAAAACCTTAGATTTGGAAAAAAATAATTCATGGTATCGGTTTGAACATAACTTTGTCACTGATATTTTAAAGTCACTGTAGGTAGTCAGTTTTTGGTAGCCAAAGCATCACTTATCCCTGTGAAAGAAATAAGAGCGAGAGTAATGAAATCAAGAGCCCTAGGACACCGTCCTACCTCTGCTCACTCACCAAGATATTTATCTATCAGTTGTGATGGAGCCATCGATCTGTCTCCAGCACTCTCGAGTACAGATACTAAGTCAGCGAACCGTGCTGGACGGTTTCTTCTCCTAAGAAACATCC